CAAAAATCACGGGTGAAAAGGAGGTGATGATTGGAAAAATAGGAATCTTTTAATTAGTTAAGATATAATTTGAGTTGTTTTGTTGATAGGTGTAGGTATAAATCGAATTCTTATAACTAGGTATATGCTCATAATTTGAAAATTTAAAAAAAAAATTGAGTGATTTTGTGCATTTGATACCATGGTGCCCGGGCACCATGGTGTCCCATATGAGTGTCATATATATATATATATATATATATATATATATATATATATATATATATATATATATATATATATATATATATATATATATATATATATAGAGAGAGAGAGAGAGAGAGAGAGAGAGATGTGATGCGTGCGGTGCATCCGAACCAGCAAACTCACGAGTGCCTGTTTCATTTCGATCGACCGGCCGGATATATATACATATATTCGATAATGACGACTGGCGAGATGATCAGGAGTGCACATATCCACCAACCTAATTTGGCATCCATCGAATCGTATCGGTGGTTGGAATCAGATTTATTTATTATGGTACTAGTTAGATGCCCGTGCGTTGCAACGGGAAATAAAATCATCAACTTTAACTCATACTACTACTACTCATAATTTCTAAAGAATATATTTCACCCTTGTAGGTCCATGTACACCAGCTATCTTCTGACCCACTAATATCATGATTTCCATTTTGAAAGAAAAAAATAGATAGGATGCAATATAATTCAGATATGTGGATTCAGAAAGATTTTCACTCAATGTCAGGCGCAATTAAGTTACAACAGAAAACTGAGACCAGAACCGGCTAGATTCAGGCTTGGTTTAGTTCCCAATTTTTTCTTCAAACTTTCAACTTTTCCATCACATCAAAGTTTTCTTACACACACAAACTTCCAACTTTTCCATCACATCGTTCCAATTTCAATCAAACTTCTAATTTTGGTGTGGACTAAACACACCCTCAGCAACTTTTTACTCCATCACATCGTTCCAATTTCAATCAAACTTCTAATTTTGGCGTTAACTAAACACACCCTCAGCAACTTTTTACTCCAATTAAAATACAACCTTGGCACCAGGCTACTGGAAGGCACCGCCTTCCTCATGGCCACGTCGTTTCTTGCATATTTCTTTGCTGCACATATTTGTCCACACAAGACATACCAAAATAAAATCCAAGCAATCACAGATAAAGAAATACTTTATAGGCACTGCGATTTATGGCAGCAATAAATATACATTATGGAAAAGGATCAAGCAAGAATGATCATAACTTAAAATGGACAATTATATTTTAGACTACGTTTCATAGTGGAGTTGTACTGCAAGCTATTAAATGGGCTCCTTGAAATAGAGCAAAAAAATAAGGCACGAGTGGATGAAAATATGGATGACCAAAAAGTATGTTCTTCGGAATAGATGAAAATATGGATTCATCAGAACAATTACAAATTATTGCAATAGTAGTTTTCAACAGTAAACCTATTGAATTCGCAAAAATCAATGAGCATAGTTAAATTGCCACCTCAAAAAGGCAATTAACAGTTATACATAAACTTTTTCGACTAAAAATGCAAAATAATATTAAATACTTATTTCCATTTACTCCATCACATGAGTAACATGGTACAAACTGCCTACATGTCGGCTAATCCAGAAGGAAGTACCAGTTCCAAAGAGCATTAAAGAAAGTTTACTACTTATTTTTGCATTGATAGAATGAGACATGAGGTGCAGGAAATATGCTTATCAATATTTGGTTGGGGGCTGGGTAGGTCGAGTTCGGGCGTGCCTCCATATCAATATGCTTATCCAGGCGACGAACAGATTACAAGATAATCCCTCTAACATGTTATAAAGAAGGATACATATTTACACCTATTGGGTCGAGTTGGGTGAAAGAAAAAAGAATGTTCTAACCGAGAAACCTATGCATACAGATGCGCCGTTGCATACCTCTTGTAAGAAACTGTCTGCAGCCTCATCCTCTAATTAAGCAAGGTAGCAGGCTAGCAGCCAAACAGAAACCTCTTCTGTATCTGAAAGTGTAAATTGAATGATAAGCCACGTGATGAGTAGCACACATATTGTTTAGATCTTTTCGTTTTGGCACAGAGGCAGCAAACGTGGGCGCCATCCGTAACCTTATTATCACCAGGATTAGCCCTGTCCTACAGAGCAAGATTAAAAAATATGGTGGGTGGTTGTATGCACTCCGATGAAAAGCATGAACCTATTTGTTGAGCTAGGAAGACTCTCACTTGTTAGGCAGCTCAAGGATGTACGCTGGTTTTCTAGCAGCTTCAAGCCTCCAACTGTGTCTCTGTTCAGCAGTGAGGATCCCGAATTCAGCAGTGACGATAACATGAACACATCATGTAGAACTTTATGGATAGTAAGTTAAAAGACCATAAGCTTGTTAACTGGCAGTGATAAATGAATTTTGTTTGTGGAGACGCTTTTTTAATACCTTTTCATGCAAGAATTACTGAGAGTTTTTGTCCTTCAGCATATGCATTTTTTTGGATTGGTTTTGAAAATTATACTTCATCCTTTAGCATATTACTTTCAGTTTTTCAGTTTGCAGACTACTGAGAGTTTGTGTCCTTCAATATATGCAATGAAGTAATAAGAATTTATCTTTGGTTCCTTTAATAGTACTTTCAGTTTGCACAGTTTTGGAAGAAGAGTTCTCATAGTGTGAAAAATGAACATCAATAATCATCACTGCGCATTTCTCATTGTGAAGAACAAGTGCAAAATATCTGCTCATATGAATCACACAAGGGAAAAATGGAAAATAGTTTGTTTACCTTAAATTCAGATGAGGAGTTACTGAGGACGTCGAATGGAAACAACAGGATATGGGCACAAGAGGTCTCTGATTGGTGAGGTCACGCATGGCGGATCGCTGCTGCCAACGTTCTGAAAGCAGACGTTGAGACCTTCAGGGGATTAGGACTAAACCTGAAGCAGATCGAGCACTGGACCACCTTAGTGAAAGATCCACGGCTGTGCATGAAAAAATGGACCTGATCATCTAAAAACCCCTGTGCTAGATAACTTGGTAGCAGCTACACCCATCAGTGGAACAATAGAATACTTAATAGTGCTAACAACAAACCACCCAAAGTTTACATCTCAATAAATTGTACGTTTGCACTCAGTTTTTTTTTTCCAAAAAGCACACAAGCTCATCTAGCATGAAGATTTCACCAGCACAGACAAGTAAGCATCTTTACTTATTCAAGACTATCTTGCAAAACTTAAGTCCAATGCACTTGTTTATCAATGCAACAATTATTAACTACCACTGAGTATTCAATTAGAAATAAGCACCTAGAAGATAGTGCTAATTATATTCTAGTATATCATAAATTATATAGCAATTTAACAATGTCACATTTTCTCAGAATTTCAGATATAACATTCTCAGAATTTCAGATAGAGCAGTTCATTATAGTGAGGCGCGGAGGGCGGAGTCTTCTCCCTGTACGACGAGGAAATTCTGTAATTAGAGTACCAGTTAAGGACTTTAGCTAGATATGTATTGAATGCAAACGATAACATCAAAGGTATGGACGTTTCAGGGGACAAGGGAGTTGCTTGGTTAGTACTACAAACACGATCAGCACAGACATTATAATAGTAATGAAAAACAGATGTGCACTTCTAAAAGAACTAATTATGCAATTAATGATGATGATAACAGTAGTTGTTTCTTAGCATCTTACATATTAAGCTATCTGAAGAACAAATATGGCAAGTTAGCAGCCGACGGAGGTCAGTCGACGGCTCCCGGTGATGATGCAGGTGGAGCGGTCGGCGGCTCCTGTCGATTCGGCGGCTGCGCAGCCCATGGAGGAGGTCGGTCGACAGCTCCCGGCGACGATGCAGGTGGAGCGGCCGGCGGCTCCCATCGATTCGGCGGCTGCGTAGCCCATGGAGGAGGTCGGTCGACGGCTCCCGACGACGTCGCAAGTGGAGCGGCCGGCGGCTCCCGTCAATCTGGCGCAGGCGCAGCCCATGGAGGTCGTTTCACGGTTCCCGATGACGGCGCAAGTGGAGCTGCCGGTGGCTCCTGTCGATCTGGCGCCGACCCAGCCGATGGAGGCTGGGCTCCGCAGATCGTGGCAGCGCGACGGCGGTCTGGCGGCGGCGAACGGTGGTGGCGAGAAGGAACCGGCGAGGAGTCCGACGATGTTTTGTCGGCGGAGATCGGGAACGGTGCGGAGGAGACCGACGAGCCGGGCGACGGTGATTTGGCGGCATCAGCGGAGCAAGGCGTGGCGGCGCGACGGTGGTATGGCGATGGAGAACGATGGCGGCGAGGAGGATTTCGCGAGGGCGAGGGTGGTGCGGGTCTAGGGTTTCGGCAGTGGAACGAGTAGGGGAAGGCCGATGAGGGCGGCGTCGGGTGACGGGGTGAGTGCGAGAGAGAGGAGAGCGGCGATGGCGGACGGTCGACGGTGACGATGGGGGCGCCGGCGCGGCGAGGTGGGGAGGCGGGAGGCGGGAGGCGATGGAGGCGCGGGCGCGGCGATGTGGGGAGGCGCTGTTTCTTTTTTTTCTTCTTCTTCTTCTTTTTGCGTTGATTCCGGATCTCGCGCGGCGCGATGGTGGTGCGGAGGTGGAGCGTGTCGCTCTGATCGTGTCGATGTACCTTTTTTTTTTTTAAGGTTGAATGGTGCGTGGTTTCATCATCACCACTATAAATTTTTTAATTTTTTTTTTAGGTAGTAGAGATATTTGCATGATCGATCTTGAAAAAGAAAAGGCAGAGCACACGCATTTTCTGGCTGCTTGCAAGTCAAAACGGAGTGAAAGAAGATGGGCCGGATAGCTATCTATACAGGCCGCGCGCGTACGTTTTTGGGCTGACAGGGCCGGCCTGCTTCGTCTTTTTGTGAACATAGCTATGCTGCTGCTTCTTTTTCCTTTTTCTTTTTTTGAGAACTAACATTAGCTATGCTAGCTCCACCAACCTTTCCCTCAAAGAAGAGACAAAACAGTTTCTATCTCCAACACACATATGTGTGTAGTATTTCAGTTGAGTCAGATATCAGTAAACATGTATGTACTACATTTTATATACTGTACACAACAGCGCTTAATAGTTAGTAGTATAGAAGTCGATCTACATTTCTTACTGTAGTATATATACACTCTGCATGCAATTTGTGAACACCCATCCGTTACAATAATTCCATTTTATTTGTTGTTTCCTACCTGATCACCTCCTTGTTTGCATCTCTCCATCTGGCATCGTACCTTGAAGAATTCACCATTCATTTCATTGCGATGGTTCTGGAAGGGTGATGAGCCGAGATTTCGAGTCATATACCATCTCCGTGCTACAACTGCAAAACAAAGAGTTGCACATTTTCAGATTGACACAAATTGTAGTATTATATTTGTAACTCGAACAGTACTATATTATACACAATCAACAATGATGGAATATGTACATATAAAAGTATAGGAGAATATAATACATACTCTGCACATTTCACTTTGTTTGTTTCACCGCCACTAGACACTGACAGGATAGTCCCGAAGAAGGAAAGGTTTTCAGCGCCACAATTCGGACATGGCCCCTGGATTGCCCAGAGAATAATCATCACTTCACTTGAACAAATAATCATATTTGATGTCTAATGTCTAATGCAAAAAAGCAGACAAGCAGAGAGGAGACTAAAAATAATACCTTGAGGATTAAGAAGTCGTTCACTATGGCATTAGTTATCGACTGTGCTATGAACAATATTAGAGGCAAAGCAGCAAACCATGTGAAAATGAAACCGAAAGGCTCTGGCAGCTGCATTTGTTCATAAAGATTACCGAGTGGGGAAAAACATGTCAAATAGTCAGTCGAATAATTAATTGGAAGAAAGGAAAAAGAATTTACCTGGAATATGTTGATCTCAAAGCCAGTCAACTCATCGATGAAGAAGAACCTAAATGCATGCAAATCGAAATTAGAGGTGACAAACATAAGTAAAGTCTGATAAAGGATGAATTCGTCGCAACCAGTTCAAATCCCACCAGGACAATGGACAGTAAAAGGTATACTGACAGTCCAATATTTATTTCATACTAGCTAGGTATATTGGAAGGAAGCAAGAGTGAGATGAAAAGAACTCACAGTCCTAGAGCAAGAGTAGTTGCTGGAACATTTAGCAGGAACATCTTTAGGTAGTCAACGGTCAAATCACTGTACACCTGCGCCAGGTAGCATAAATAAATAAATAGTCAGAAAAAGGCCCTTTTAATTTGTCAGTAAATTTAAATGAGCAAGATGCATGGAGATGAGTGTTGTATGTGTGTTTTGACAGGTTTGTTGTATGAATGGTGGTGGTTTTGGTCATGAATTTGTTGTACAGGATTATGTTTCCATATTTTGTTGCTCCAGAAAGCCCATAGGCAGGCTTAGAATATAGTGTTGTATCAGTATAAGAGGATCGGAGTAATTTTTATTACCTTTCGGCTGCGTAGACTGCACCTGGGACCTTCGGTGACAATGTCACTTCCGTCTTTCTAGCATATAATATAATAAGAGCAGCCAGTCAGAAAAGAAATTAAACTACGTAGCAGCTAGTACTGGTAAATATTTTAGTGAGAGTACAGTAGCAGTAGCAGTAAGAGTAGCATGGAAGGAAGGAATTAGTTAGTTGAATTAAGCGACCTTCAATCTGAGTTTGAGTTGGTCGAATTCAGCGTCAGACATGATGGGGTTGCCGGCAGCATAGGCCATGGAGGCTTCGAGCAGGCGTTGTTCGTCAGGGCCTGAAAAGATATTAGTGTTAATTAGTGGGCAAAGAAGATACTAACAGATAGGTATCCGCAGAAGAGATGGAAGGAGTAGTACTTACTTAGCATGACAACGCTGCTGCCTTCCCACATGAGCTCCTCCTTGAGGTTGTCGAACTCCTCGTTGGACATGATGGCCTTCTGGTCGTAGTAGAAGGCCTGAAGAGCCTGAAGGAACTCCTGCTCCATCTCACCCAGCGACCTCTTCTCGGCCTTCTTCCCCTTCCCGTCGATGCTGCAGTACTGGAGCACGTTGCTGTCCACAACCTCATCACCATCTTGTTTGCCTTGCTGCTGCTGCTGATCGGTGGCGCCAAGGCGGAGGCGCCGCCCACGCGTGGAGGTTGCGAGTGCACAGGAGGAGCGGCGAGGCAGGCGGGGGAGCCCGGAAGCGGAGAAGAAGGCGGCGGTGGAGGAGCGGGGAGGGTGGAAGAGGCGGGAAGCCGGCGACAGCCACGCCTCGGAGGCCATCAGCATTAACTCTTCTCTTCTCTTCTCTTTGATCCAACCGAGGAGCTAGGGAAGCAGCACAGCCAGCAGTGGCAGAAGCGAGAGAGAGAGATGTGCAAATGGCCGCAGCAGCAGCAGCATCAGGTAAACAAACGAACAAACAGGAAAACATTTTGTGTGGACGAGGACGAAGATGGAGCTAGGGAAATCCTTTGCTTCGCTCACATTCAGAGATAGATTTCCTCCCTCCCATCTCAAAAAAAGAGAGAGATTTCTTCTTACACCTCTCCTCTCCACACCCTTTGGACCTACTAGCTCTCCATTTGGCTCCTTCTCAGATTTTTCTTCCCCTCCTCCTTCCCTTTCTCATACTTACTTCTGGGCTAAGCCCAATTTCACATGGCACAAACTATAGCCCACACAAATTTCCCATACCAACTCCAAATTGGATCGGCCTGTCTCAATCAGGCCTAAGGGCAAAAAATATATAGAGAAAATTCATTTGCCTCGCTCTTTGAGGGTGAAATTACATTCGTTTCCTAGGATTTTTTTTTTTTGGTACCATCCTGACACTCAACTGACTAGGGACAAAATGTTCCTCTACTCAAGGTGGTGTGCTTGTAATGGTCCCCAGTTATTATTATTTGGTATCTTCCTTTGTATGATCCACATAAAATTCATATTATTTTTCTCCATATAAAATCGAATATTTTTTTCTGCATCTTAGTATGCCCTCGAGATTGAACGTTCTCTTTTGACTCATATTAGTAATACGGCCGGAGTATATATATTTAACTCAAGCGCAAGTTTACAGTGGCTGGGTACTATGCCGAAAAATATATGCAGCTCCACATCAATCCAAGCAAAACACTAGTTTTATACCTAAAGTAGCATGATATAGTTTCTCTCTCTCAACCGCTTCTTTAATTTCAATGTATGTTAGCATATATAGCTTACTCGCTATGTATTGAGTGCATATATTCACAGATGTATCAGTTTTTGCTGTTCATGTAATGTTGTTAGAGTTACGCACCAGCATGAACCAGCACTGATGCATTGTACACTTGAGCCAACTCCTAATTTGGACGTGCCAAATGGTAACAATTAATGTTGAAGAGCACAAAATACACTGAGACTAGGATTTTTATATATGTAATGAGAGGGAGAAAATCGTGTATAGTGTATGGAACTGATCTATCACCTGTCTGGGAAAGAATTTGTGAATGTTTAGTCTGCTTTACTTTACACAAAGTGAATCTTCTAACAGCATCACGTCAAAATGCTTGTGTTGTGTGTGTGTTGGTATATGATTATGTGCAAAAGGCCTACCAGTTTCTTCTTCAGCTCCTCTGTCTGGCATGATCATACATGTGCACGGTTCCCGTCAGAGAAATATGAAGCAGCATGCCAACATAATTTGCAGCCACCATGATATAGGGGATTGAGAATGTGCATGCCCTACCACCCCAGGGGAAAATAAAATGGAGAAATAAATACGGTGCTGAATGAATTACCATACAATAAATTGTACCAGACTTAATGCGGTTTTATACTTTCTGCATATTATCATGTCTCCACTGTATGTTGAGACCTGAAAGTTGTAGTAAAAGTTTTGCAACATCTTGAGAACCATTGGTCATTTGGCATTCAATTTCACTCCACATCCTAGATTATTTTCCTTCGTATTTGTCCTTGCCGATTTGCTATGCACAATCATTTTGATGCTATCATTCTCAAACACAAACACAAGAAAGGGGACACTACACTTTCCATCATGAAAAGTGTAACACACTAATGGTCATCCGTACTCATTGAATATGATGAAGTTGTACTGGGCTAAATTGGAAAATTTAATTATACCAAGCCAATTCAATAATCATAAGAATGAGTGGTCCATGAAACTAAATAAGAAAAGTAGAACATAAGGTGCGTAGTCTCTTAGCTATTTATCTGATAAAAGAAAAACAACACAGAGAGGACTAGAGCGTGGAAGTACCATAGTTCAAATAGGCTTGAGCCAACATATGTCCAAGCTGGACTTGCGCTTGGGTGCTAAGGTGCAGATGGCCATCTTCTAGTGGCAAACCCTTTGCATCAACAAATCTCACGTTTCGAAGTTTGATCCCTTTCTGAGCTTCCCTTACTACTTCAGTATATTGCCCAAGCCCTGATGCTAGTCCTACCTGAAACACCAAACAGAGGAATGGGGATTGCCTACTGTATTATGTGATATAGCAGCGAAGAGTCTAATTTACAAGCGATTTGACGAATACCACAAATAGTTTTGTCTTGCATTGCCTGGGTGGTTTGAATGAGGAGAAGAATATGCAATGGTCCATAGTAAGATGACAGTAGTTGTGCATGTAGACCTTGGACATATATATGCCTATTCTATACAGATATATATAGGGATTGTGTGCATATCATGCATGATTGAGCTGAGGTGGCGGTGGGTTGGCAACATATAATGCATACCATCATCTCAGACTTTGAAAACCAACAAATCTAAAGTAAGATGGAATGCCTTAAACTACAATGGAATTTATTTTGGCATGTCTACCTGACGGAATGTGATGGTATGTTATTACATTAGGAGAAGACCAGAACAGACCAGACCAGAGGAAATAGTAGCTTGGAATATAAGTATGTTGGAGTAGTATAGCTGAAATCTTGATGCAGACGCTATTAACAACTCTCTATTCCGTATGGCCACCCTCCACCTTCCTTTATTATTACATTTTGTTTTCTAATTGGAAAAAAGAGTAGATGTAGATGTAGCAACAACAGAAGAAGAGGAAGGAACAGCAAGCATGCCCAAGTGACAAGTAAAGCTAACAAATCTAGGGCAGGCATTGCATAGAAGGTCAGCGTGTATTGGATTGGAGAGATATGGATTGATAGGAGAAAAAGAAGAGAATAATAATAAGGGATAATACCTGGATGAGGAGAAGGTGTGGCATGGCGAGATCGGCGCGCAGGTTGCGGACGAGCATGGCCATCCGGCGGGCGTACTCGTTGGCGTCGGCCCAGCGCACGGTGTCGCTCTCCCCCTGGTACCAGAGGACAGCGCCGATGCGGCCGCCGGTCTCGAGGGCGACCCTGGAGCGGCGGACGAGATCGGAGTAGAGGTCGGTGCCCTTGGCCCAGTCGGCCATCCTGGTGCCGCCGACGGCGCAGGGGACGAGGCCGATGACAGGGAACTGGCCGGAGCGAAGGAGGGCGTTAGCGAAGGACATCCCGGGACCGACGCCGCAGGTGCGGTTGGAGTCGATGCCGTTGTGGAGCGGCTCGTGGGCCTCCTCCCATCGGAGCTGCGGGGAGAGGCGGAGGATGGAGGGGTTGGGGGCGCACTCCGGGGGAACCATGCCGTCCCAGTGGGACCCCACCACGCCCCCGCGCCCCGCCATGTTCGACTGCCCTCCCAGGATGAACACCACCTTGTTCGACGGAGGGAGGGACACAGCCGCCGCCGCCGCCGGAAGCAGCAGCAACAGCAGCAGCATCCGCCGCATTGCTGCTTGCTACCGTTGGGCTTGGGGCCTGGGGGGTTGGGTTTGGGACAAATAATTTGAAATCTACTCCTCCTCACTACTCTACTCGTAGTCAATTTATAATGCAGCTAGCGGCATGTCTGTTTGAGTTTGTTTGACCCAACCAAACCAAACCACCAAAGAAAGGAAACAACATCCACCCATGTCGTGCGCTGCTCTTCCCTTTTCTTTTCTTCTTTTTTTTTTGGGTTTTGTTTTGCGCGAGTATAGCAGGAAGGAAAGTAGTACGATGGGCCTAGTTTGTTGGATGGCCGTGGGCTCCTTATCCTAGGGCTACGGCCCAGGTGCATCGGAGGAGCGAGCCAGGCTCGTTCGCCGTCGCTCCGGACTACAGTATACTGGACTGGACTGGAGGTCACGGTCGTCGCCACTTCTGCCCGCCCCGATCACTCTTCCATCTGGATTCAAACCATCTTCTTCTCCTCCGATCCTTGCCATAAACACATTTCACTCAGCAAGGTCATCCAAAGGTTAGCTAGGCCGGAACATCCATCATTCACGGTACGGTCAACTAAATTTTACTGAAATACACTACTACTAGTAGTACCACCACCTAGGTGTCTGGGCACCAAGCCTGATACTTGTGGTTATCGGCTGTGATTTTCTGACGTACCAGGCCTAATACTTGGTATCAGCCGTGATAATCACCTTATACCAGTCAAGAATGACTTGCCTATGCACAATGAAGAGGAGCAGCATGACGAGCTAGCGACAAGTACAATGTAACAACCTCGAGACCTCCATGAACTCCGAGATTGCCCTCACACCGAGAACGACCGACTTGCTTTTATCCTTGGTGCCCTTGACCTCATCTCCCTCAGCCTCGCGTCCTCCCTCTTGTCCCTCCCCAGCCACGACAAATGGTGACCTCGCTGTCGCAGTTACCTTTCTACTTGCCGATTTCACCGATTCCAACAGCTACATAACCTCGTTAGAGTCCACATGCCCATTGATGTGGTGTGGGGAAGGGGAAAGAGGATGTGGGATGTCATCGTGTTGGGGATGATGGCGATCGGTCCTCCAGCAAAGGGAGGTGGGATTGATTGGAGTGAAGGAGGGATTGATTGGAGTGAAGGAGTTGGGAGGAGCAAAGTGGACGACGGAGAGAATGAGTCGGAGAGGAAGAAAGAGGAGAAACAGATATGGAGAATAAGAAATAAATCTAGGGTGTTTGTTGTTAAGTTGTATCCCATTCTACGGGATCTAGGGTGTTTATTGTTAAGTAGGTGTACTAGTATCCTAATTCACGGGACTCCATCCACTAGTTTCTGTAATAAAAATATGGCCTCTTTGACCGTATCGTACTAGTAGGTGAAAATGGACCATTGTCGTATGAAGAGAAGAGAAATAGGATGAATGATGATGAGATAAAAATATGGGAAAATTGGTTCCATACCATCGAAAGTTCCTGAGTTTTGCTTTATACCATCGAAAATTTGTGGTGCACTTTAATACCATTCAAAGTTTTCTCCGTTAACTCTCTATACCACAACTGTTTATTTCCGTCAGTTTTTTTTTCTTTTCAATATTTGGCTGGAAGACAAACAGGATATGACTGTATTGCCCTTCCTTCACTCATCTAAATCTGGCCCAAATTTTCTCGTTTTTTCCTCTTTGGCTGACATGGGCACATCGCTCCATCGATGGGGATCGGGAGCAACAAGAGCAGGCAGCACAGGCCGGAGGAACATTGTGAATAGAGGACTGCACGAGCACCGGAGCACGGCGAGTGGGTTACGAGCGCGCGCGCCGGAGCTGCACGGCCGACAGGGACGGGCTGTCGCCCTGTCTTCTGTCTATCTTCTCCCCGCCATTCGCCAATCTACACGTCCCTGCTACTGATCTCTTCCCTACCGGTGAGCTGGTCCCCACCATTTCAACTCTCAAGCACCATTCATCCCATCAATCCGCGTAATCTCGCCGCCGGTGGCCCAATTTGCCTCAAGCTCTTCCAAGCCGGCCCCCTCCAGGAATTGCAGCGTCGGTCAACATCGTGCTCTCCCGCGCCAACCCCTTCCTCACACAGCGGATGGCTGGCCAGCTCCGACAGGTGCGGTGGCAAGAGGATGTGATGGAGCTGGCGGCGATGCTTGGTGAAGAAGATGCTGCTTTTGATCTGGATGCGTCGGGGACCGGAGACAAGGGCAAGCAATGTCATGTTTAACGACAGATCCACTAAAGTTGACGGTGATGGTGAAATAAGTAACGGAGTAAATTTTGGATGGTATTAAAGTACGCCACAAACTTTCGATGGTATAAAACAGAACTCAGGAACTTTCGATGTCGTGGAACCAATTTTCCCTAAAAATATTCCTCTAAGAGCAGGTAGAATAGTACTCCCTCCGTCTCAAAATAAGTGTAGTTTTAGCACTATTCATGTTCAACGTTTGACCATTCGTCTTATTTGAAAAAAGATTATGATTAGTATTTTTATTGTTATTAGATGATAAAACATGAATAGTACTTTATGTGTGACTAATTTTTTTTTAATATTTTTTATTAATTTTTCAAATAAGACGGATGGTCAAAGCGCTAAACATGGATATCTATGGCTACACTTATTTTGGGACGGAGGTAGTAGGCTATAAACCAGCTATAAACATATTTTAAAGAGATAAAAGAAGAGAGAGAATAGCAGCGGACTATATATTTGTAGCCAGCTACAGCACGGACTCAAAGACGTAATGTGTGTATATGACAAGTAGGACCAGGTATTAAGAGTATAGTAAGCAACTATTGTATGAATTAGCTATTACATTAACTATGATGATTTGGAGCGCTCTAACGAGCGTGTATATTTTTATTGAGCCAATCCTCTCACTCTCCTCTCCTCCATATATACGGTAGTACTCCTATATTGGCCTGCCTGCCTGCCTACCTGTCCTGTCCGTCCACCTTGCTGTGTTAAATGCGTTTCTAGCGTAGCGTAGCAGATCCAACAAACACCTAGCAGCAGCAGCATTGGTACGTACTCCTCCTAGTCCTAGCTAGTGAGTGAGCGTGAGGAGCAGTGAGCATGGCGTCGCCACAGCTACAGCTGCAGGTACTAGCGCTGCTGCTGCTGCTCGCCACCACGGCCACGGCCACGGCGACGCCGACGCCGACGCTGATATTCCTTTTGGGCGGGCAGTCCAACATGGGCGGTCGCGGCGGCGCCACCAACGGGCCGTGGGACGGCGTGGTGCCGCCGGAGTGCGCCCCGTCACCTCGCATCCTCCGGTTGTCCCCTGAGCTCCGGTGGGAGGAAGCGCGGGAGCCCCTCCACGCCGGCATCGACGTCCACAACGTGCTCGGCGTGGGCCCGGGGATGTCCTTCGCCCACGCCCTCTTCCGCGCCATCCCGCCCTCCACCGTCATCGGCCTCGTCCCCTGCGCCCAGGGAGGCACGCCCATCGCCAACTGGACCAGGGGCACGGAGCTGTACGAGCGGATGGTGGGGCGCGGCAGGGCGGCCATGGCCACCGCCGGTGCAGGTGCAGGGGCCAGGATGGGGGCGCTGCTGTGGTACCAGGGGGAGGCGGACACCATCCGGCGGGAGGACGCGGAGGTGTACGCCCGGAAGATGGAGGGCATGGTGCGCGACGTCCGGCGAGACCTGGCGTTGCCGGAGCTGCTGGTGATCCAGGTGGGGATCGCGACGGGGCAGGGCAAGTTCGTCGAGCCCGTCAGGGAGGCCCAGAAGGCGGTCAGGCTTCCTTTTCTCAAGTACGTCGACGCCAAGGGCCTCCCCATCGCCAACGACTACACGCACCTCACCACCCCGGCGCAGGTCAAGCTCGGCAAATTGCTAGCCAAGGCCTACCTATCCACGCTCTAATTATATCATTTGCGTTCACTGCTGGCTACTAAGTACTGATTCATTCCTCCCCTTCCCCTCTATGCAAAATCTGTCATATGGAGCGCGTGCTGTATGTAGGGGATGAGTATCTTACCACTTCTTCCTTCATTCCGGATTAAAATATAATGTTACTGATTTTCTTTTTCCCACAATTATTACTCCACTACTTTGGTTATTACACACACACAGGACAGACACCTGGATTGATTTCTGGACTAATGCTTCTTTCTTCCTACTTACATTACTATACTCTCCTAGTACTCCTGAAATGTGTACTGTCGGCAGCTCCAATTGTACTCATGCTGTGATGATCTGTTATGTAATGTAGTATGCAACCATCTCCCTCCCTCCCTGTTTCAATCCTTCGAGCGGTTCGGTTCGGTACTCACTTTGATTGGCCAACATATGCAATGCATGTTTCGGGCAGACAAAAGGCGCCAAGCTAAAATAAAGATGTTGGTCTGTCTGACACGGTGACTCGGGGCCAGAGATGTCTTATTCTCTTGTTTATTACTACTACAGTACACCTCAAATCAGCTTTACCATTCATTCCATATCTTAATCAAATCTACTTCTACAGTAATCCAATATAGTACTCCCTCCGTCGCTTATTAGGATCCCGTTCTTTTCTTCAGAAGAAGTTGGATGAATATTAATATTTTCATGACACGCTTTTTAAACTGTTAAACGGCACGTTTAGTGTAAAAAAAATACATAAAAGTTACTCTAAAATATCATATTAATCTATTTTTCAAGTTTATAATAATTAAAACCCAATTAATTATATGTTAATACCATCTCATTTAGCATAAAAAACTTAATCTTTATCTTCGTATATTCAGATGAAAAGAAGACCATCTAAAGGGCGTACTTTTTCTTTTTCGGAGATCAAGGCGTGGGTGTAGGTGGTAGTTTCCTCCGCATGCACCCCTAATTAAACGCCCATGCAGAATTAATCATATGGCTCATCTAAGGGTCTGTTTGGCACAGCTCCAACTCTAACTTCACCTCTGCTGGAGCTGGAGCTGGAGCTCAGCCAAACAGTTTCAGCTCCACCAAAACTGAGAGTGGAGTTGGGTGGAGCTCTCTCACAAAATATACTAGAGTTGTGGAGCTAGGTTTAGGCAGCTCCACAACTCCACTCTAGACTTAACTCCTGGAGCAATATTTAGGAGTTGGAGCTGTACCAAACAGGCCCTAAGAGCAGGTACAATAGCAGGCTATAAGCCAACTGCAAATATATTTTAAGAAGATAAATCAGGAGAGAGAAGAGTAGCGAGCTACAGATTTGTAGCCCGCTGTAGCACGGACTCCAAGACGCAGTGTGTCTATGACAGGTGGGACTAGATATTAATAGTGTAGTATGTAACTATTGTATGAATGAGCTATTAGATTAGCTATAAATAAATTAGAGCCAGTAGTTGGCTATACTATTGAACTTGCTCTAATAAAGAGCATCAATGTAGAATTAATCCCGTTGCTCTGACTGCATCTGCATGCTCAAGCAGTCATTGGGTGGATCTGTATGCCAAAAGCGTCACACGCATACATGAAGACCAAACACAGAAGCGCACTCTTGGAAGATTTGAACCAGAAAACACATCACGCCTTCTGTCATAAAAAATTGACGCCCTCTAATATGTAATATGGGATGGAGGGAGTACTAAGTTAAATCTCATCTCATACTGTATTGCTATATTTTAAAATGATGAAGGGAGTAACCTACTACTTCCTCTGTTTTAAATCTCTCTATTTCAAATTACTTGTTCTAACAAACATTATAGTAGTACAAACCAAAAGATGTGGTAGATTACATGGTTACCCTCATTCAATACATCCTATTTTTTTAAAAAAGCAAATGAGTCAATAAGACTTGAGATTGTATTAATGTATGACTGCATCAATAAAAGATAGGGAAGGAAGATCTTTTTAAATTAAAACTACTTTGTAATAAAAGTGATAAGTATTTTGATATAAAATTTAAATACTAAAATAAGTTGTATGAAATGGATCAAGTATATGTAGGTAAAATTCTTTACATTTTAGGATGAAGACAACAGTAGTAGCAAATAACTGTTGAAGGTCAGGATCTGGGGACCTATCACGTGCTCATCCTATCATACAGCAACTTGTGACACTGCACTAGTGCAGACGATTCCCTTGTGTGGCCAAGATAGCCAGATTCATTGATTCAGGGACCTTTGCTTTCATCATCCCACCAATTCAACCTTGCTTGCCGGCCAGAGTACTGAAATAATTTCAGGGCTCCTTTGGAACAAAGTAATTTTAGAGGATTGGATTACTATGAAAAAAAATTCCATTACAGGCATTTGGAACAAAGGAATGGCTTCTCCAAATTCCTTTGAAAGTCTTTAGGACTGTCTCAAATCATAGGAATTTTGAAGGATTGTCAACATGAGATTCTACCGCTAGAAAAAATTCCTTTGTGTCTATCTTTCTCTCTTTCGATTCATGTGTTTTTGTTGTGTTACATTCAAACTGTAATTCCTGGAGTTTTCTTGTGTTTTTTCATCCATAGGATTTGAGATGACAAAGCAATCGAATTCTATTTTTTTAAAAGGAAATCCTGCGTTCAAATAAAAACAAAACTCAGGCTGCTGCTCATTCATTTGAAAAGGGGAAGAGAAAGAAAATAGTAGTGATAAAAATACAAATGGATCAATGAGGGCCAGTCCGCCCACTACATATGGAGTATTATATATTGCCCTTTTCTTTTTCCCAATCATCAACGTGAAGATCATCCCCACTAGCCTAGGAGTATGAATCTTGTTTTGACACAAGAAAGAGCATTGGTGGCCATGCGGGTGCGCATGCGGAATTGCGGAGTAGTAGTCCACTACTAGCTAGCTAAGCTAGTGATGCAGCTGTGTGAATTACTTCTAGTTTGTGTGAGTCGCAATCATTGAATTCAAATGGAAGTGGAGTACATACAAACATACATACATGCATGTGCTTGATGTTGATGAGTTGATAATGCATCATCATTACTGTTGTTCGCAATTATCCTGATCCTTTAACTTGAACTGGAGTAGTATTTGGGATTCAGATCCATGTCATTCATTCATATCGGAAATTAAGTATTACTACATAGCAGTAGAAATTAAGGAGCCATCTCATCTCATATGACTGAATTTATTGAAATGATTGGTGATTAGTATTACAGTAATTTGTTTGTAGGCGTGGCGTTATTAGTGAACTGGAGTAGTAGCATACATGAGAAAGAAAGAGGAATACAGGCGGTGGTGGTATACGGTATACGTACAAGGTAGGTAGGTAGGGGTGAGCGGCTAGGCATCGGCGTCGTCGTAGGAGAGGTGGAAATCGGTGGTGCAGCCGGCGGCGTCGGGGTCCTCGGCGCCGCAGCAGTCGTAGAACTTGGCGGCGTAGGGTGGGTCGCCGTCGCGAAGCTGGTAGTACCTCTTCTGGTCGTCGTGGCGCCGGCACACGAAATACGACGGGTGGAACCTGCAGGAGAGCCGCGTGTTGCCCGACGGCGCGTACGTCGCCTTGCACCGCCGGCACAGCTTCTCCTTCTCCTCCTCCTTGCCGCCGGTGGTGGACTCCATCTTCTCCTTCTCCGATGATGGGGATCTCATCACCTCCCCTCATTGGGGTGGGGATCTTAATTTCTTCTTTGCGTTAATTAGTTGGGCCGGGGCCCATCTTTCTTGTTTTCCTGTGGGCCTGCCTCTTATTCGCCTCGCCTCCTGTCTGTGGGCTACTTCATTCTTTTCTTGCTTCATCAATTCAACCCCGTACCTTCGTTTTTCCGTTTATTTTTACAATCGCTTATTTATTTTATGGGTCTTTGGTCCCTTTCTTAACCCCACTTTTTTAGTTTCAACCAAGTGACCTAAACATACCTATGACGTTTAATTGCTCTCCGACACATGCACCACCTATGGGGTGTATGGATAATAAACATTTTCAAAGGCTTTCGCCCGATTAACAGTTTCTACGACCGCAGTATATTTTTTTCCCTTTTCTTTATAAAGTTACAATAAATACTCCATCCGTTTCGAAATGTTTGACACCGTTGACTTTTTAGCACATGTTTGACCATTCGTCTTATTCAAAAAATTTTATGAAATATGTAAAACTATATGTGTACATGAAAGTATATTTAACAATAAATCAAACGATATGAAAAAAATAAATAATTACTTAAATTTTTTGAATAAGACGAATGATCAAATACGTACTAAAAAGTCAACGGTGTCAAACATTTTGAAACGGAGGGAGTACATTACAAGCTATCTTCGCTACATGGCAACTTCAAGCAATGTTCATCTAGGGGTGTGTGTGAGAGAGAGAGAGAGAGATATACACACACACTAAGGAAGACTTCATATTTTTTCTTAAGGATATGCCCGCCAAAACTTGCACAAAACACCCTTCAGCCATTAGTTCTCTTCATTCAACGGTTGGATGTAAAATCTCTATCCAAAGTTGACAACGATATACCAAACCATCGTCTCCAAACCTTGGCATGCAAGTATGATTTCTTTTTCCTCGTTACACCTTTGTACCTTGATTTAAAACCACAACTAATGAATTGGACCAAAATTAAAGTACTTGCATATAAGATTTATTGGAGCTTTGTCAAACACAATATCATTCCGGATAAGCCAAAGAGACCAGCATAAAACATAAATGTTCATACTAAAATAAGCTTTTTGATTTTTAAGTCAATAGGACTAAGCTAACTCCCGAACAAAACAATTATTGAATAGCGAAATCCTAACCAATATATATGCATTGTTAATCCACAACACCAGAATTTCATGGTAATTGAACAACTATTATACTCCCCTTCCTAAAATATACGCATTTTCGGATTTTGACAAGAGTCTATGAGATTTTACTTTTACTAATAATATTTATATAAAATGAGTTGTTTTAAATAGAAGAGTTTCACATCATGATAGTTTTGTTTAATGATAAATATAGCAATATCATCTTACATGACTAATATTTTTTATTTTCTCGCTCGTCAAAATTCAAAATGTTCAATTGCTTATATTAAAAATGATGGGTGTACTGTATACGATTTTTTTTCCGCGAGCAACATTGTTGGATTGCATAGGTCACAACCGAAGCTAACGAATTCCCAACTACTAATTATGACGATTAACAAATTAAGGACAAGCTAGCTAGAGAATCTTTGACGAGAGCTAGCTATATATTTGGCATGTATTAGCAAAGACAAAACAGTACTGCTACTAGGTAGCTAGCGTGCATATAAAAGATCAATCAAGGATTATGCATGCATACATCCAGAAAACAAAATTAAGGGAAATTAATTAAGTTACAGCTCGATCGATCGTCTCCCATCTACCAACAAGGACCACACTAAGCTAGTCGTTCCTTTATTTTCTTATGCTTTTGCATGCGCAGGCACAAAGTAAATTTTCAACGGTTTAAAATCAATAAGGAGTTGCTGTTTGGATGAACCTCATGTTAAAAATCTTTCAAATTCCTATAGTTTAAGACAATCCTAACGAATTTCAACGAAATTCAGGAGAGCCATTTATTAGTTCTAATGGTGATGGAAACGGGATGTCTGATCTTCCGTCAGGTGAAGATCGATTACTCTTGATGGTGGAAACTTGACACACACGATCATGCTTTCAATCAACACAATCCGTCGTAGCACCACGTCTTCTCTAGTTATTAACCGTGTCAAAACCCGTTTAACCTCGCCGAGAAGGCTAATCCCTACGTGCGAACCGGAGAACAAAATCAAGAACAAGAAAGACAACAACTCAATTGCAGATGAATGATTAATCACGAACTGAAAGTTGGGATTCCACAAACCGAACTAGCGACGAAACTGCGATGGCAGAAATAATCTAAGAAAAACCCAACCCTAATTCAATGATAGCTACTGAATATATAGGTTCTAGGATCGACCTCGAACCCCTGGACGCGTCCTCATCGGACTCCGACATGATACAAGGCCCAACGGGCCCAAAGATGGTGACACAACACCTGGTCAGATTCTGAACGCCTTCTTCTTTCGATGATTTCCATTAACTCGGAAGGAATTTTGACGTGTGACCACACCCATTGGAAAGATAGTCTCGTTAGCTTTCCATACATATAGAACGTCAAAATCGGAGTCCGAATGCAATCTGAGTAATGATTTTAGTGTCGATTGCTCCTGGAGCACGAGGTGGACTCAAATTCGATATAAGGCGGACCTTCATCTTGGCTTGAACGTCCATGACGACCTTTTCCATCTTCTAGCCTCTCTCCAAGTGCTACATCATTCTCTCCATAGTTACTAATCGTAATTAAATTAATAGGTAGTAATCTATCCTCAAAATTACATAAAGAAGTACTCAATAACAAGCTCACATGTAAATTCAATTATCAGACGCGAGTTTTAGTTATTGGACCTTACTTAACAACTTGAGAAGTAAGAGTACTTTGTGTATCTAAAGGACTGATGTCTTCATCAAATGGATCATACCGCAAATTTGCAATTGAGTTCTTTCCATAGGAATTTAATGCTTTAAAATTCCTTATAATTTGTTTGCTTTAAAGAGCCCTAAATATAATTAAGCAACGATGTGATTCACACGGTCGCTTAACCTGCATGGAGAATAATGTGTGTCGACAAATATCCAACAGACTACATATATATACGTAGTTCCTCTGTACTCGTAAAGGAAGTCGTTTAGGATAATATTTAAGTCAAATCTTAGGAATATAAATCATGAATAACACTTAAGTTGTTGAGTTTGAAAATGTAAAAAATTATATGAATAGATTTGTCTTGAAAAATACTTTCATAAAAGTGTATATATATATATATATATATATCACTTTTCAATAAATATTTTTATAGAAACAAGAACTAAAAGTTGTGTTTTGGAGATCGTGTTGATGTCCTAAACGATTTTCTTTACGAGTAATAGGGAGTATATGCATCCGATTAAGTAGGACAGATTAATTAAGATGATCGTCATGGAGTAATAATATACTCGTATTGGGAGCTAGCAAAACCGCGTTGCCAGAGTTTAGTCTGCGGCCCAGCCGATAATTAATCCAGTAGTCAAACTGATCGAGTGACCTCACAGCTTACGTACGTAATAGTGGTCGCCACGTGTCGCTCTATCCGACTATCTACCTATAGATCATCACAGATGGAATGGAATTTTGGGGTTTAGGGCCTGTTCACTTTGTTGACAAAAAAAACCTTACCAAATTTTAGCATGATCAAAATTTTGGCATAGTTATTAAAATTTTGGCATATTATTAAAATTTTGGCAACTTGCTAAAATTTTGGTAGGATTTTTTATATAGTTACCAAAATTTGGCAGCAAACTAAATGTAGCCACTTTTTTTTAAGTAATTTTACCAAAATTTGGTAAGGTTGAAAATGGCATAAAGGGCCTATTCACTTTGATGCCAAAAAAAACCTTACCAAATTTTGACATTGTCAAATTTCAAAAATAGATACTATCCCTATCTCAAAATAGATACTATCCCTATCTTTAGCTATGTATTTGTATAGATCCTTGTGTACGTATATATGCATAGTAAACGGAGGAGTAGATGGTGATGGGACAAGGTGTATACTCCCTCCGTCCTAAAATGTAAGTATTTTTAGCTTACATATGTATCTAGATTTATAGCTAAAAATATTGTGTTTAGATTTATAGCTAAAAATGCTTATATTTTGGGACGGAGGGAGTAGCAAACAGGTCAGGATTCGGCACAAACGTAACATCGCCTACACTGGGACTATATATGTACCGTGTACCGATTTAAGAAAGAAGAGGTAAAGGAAAAATATATATCTTGGGGTTAATTGGCCGCGCGCTGCACTGCTTATTACTAGCAAGAGTGTCGATCTGCAGTGTCTTGTAGTTGTATACTACTGGCAAAGTGGCAAGGCTGAGTTAGAGAGGTTGGAGAATGGAGATCCAAGAACAGAGCGTGACCTCCGATCCCCTGTCGCGCGCTCGCCATATGTACAGTAGAAATAATCACCCAACCTACTGCCTCTCGTGGTGTATGGTGGCTGTGTTATTTGCTCAGGTTTCCAACCCCTCTCCCTTCTCGTTCCACGCGCACGCTTTTCAAACTGCGAAACGGTATGTTTTTTTTACAAAAAGCTTCTATATAAAAGTAATTTTAAAAAAAATTATACAAAATCATATTAATCTATTTTTAAAAAAATGGCTAATACTAATTAATTGCATGCTAATAGATCACTCCGTTTTTCATGGGCACTGTGCTTGTTGGGAACGGCTACTTCCGAACATAGCCTATATACTCCTGCTTCCTGTATCCACTGAATGTTACTACTGCTCTGCTCTTCTCCTCAATAGCTAGATACTACTATTCCCTCCGTTCAAAGTTACAAAACACTTTTGAATTTTTTTAAGTTAAATTTCTATAAGTTTGATTAATTTTATAAAAATGCAGCAACTTTTACGATATCAAATTAGTTTCATTAAATCTAATATTGAATATATTTTGATAGCATGTGTTGTTTGGTGTTAAAAATATTGCTATGTTTTTCTACAATTTTTTATCTTAAACAACTTTAATTTAGTAAAAAGATAAAAACGTCTTTTATAATATGAAACGGAGAAAGGAGTAGATAGGGCTCTCCTCTCTCACAAGGACACCACAGTGGCTAGGGAGCCGTGGCGACCCAAGGAGATAGAGGCACCACCCCTCAAATCCAGGCCGGATCCGGCGAGGAGCAATGCTGCGGAATGGAGCGTTGGCAATGAAGACGGCAGTTAGGCCTCTCCCATAGGGTGTGGGGCATCGGTGGCTAAATCCAACGTCTCTACAGTCGGATCCGTCACCCCCGCGGCCGAATTCGGCGCCTCCTGTCTAGGCTCGTGGCAGGAGAACGGTGCGAGGAGGCACTATAGCTCAGAGACGATTGCCTGCTGCCGTGGAGGTAGGGGTCTAGCCACGGCGGCGAGGCCACGGGAAAGCGGAGGAGGCGAAACTACGGGTCAGCAGCGCGAGGCGGCGGTGGATATGGCCGTGGAGGCTGAGGCGTGGGTCCGGACGGTCGCCTGCGGGGATGCGGCAGCTGCTCCTTGGCTTGGGGAGAGGCGGTGATGACCACACATGACCGGACCTCCATGGTGTTGTGGTGCATGGAGGATGGTTGAGTGCCATCGAGCTGGTGCAGGGGTGCTGGCCGGTGGAGGGGTGCCGGTGCGGCGAGCCTACATGCTGGACGAGGTCGTTCGGGTGGCAGGGCTTTTGTCACGCCCCGAACTAGTACCGACCGGAACTAGCCCGTGACGCTCCAAATTAACCTGTTAATCGATACCAGTCCCAGGAAACAGTGCTGGTATCGCAGGAAGACGGATTATCACAGCAACAGAGGTCTCTTTATTATAGAGTAGAGGTACAGTCATGTTGGGCTGCGGACAGATCCCGAGCTCACAACTGCATTACAAAAGGGGGAAACGGAAGCCAGGACTTGGACCAAACAACACAGGCGCGACTTGGGAACTAGGCCGAAACCCTAAAACTCATCGAAGCCGGCTTGCTCCTGGAAGAACTCCTCATCAGCAGGATCCGCTTCATCTTCTTCAGCAACTGGGGGGATTATTTATATAGAGCAAGGGTGAGTACGGGGGTACTCAGCAAGCCATGGGAAATAAGTGTTTAATGCAGGCTTCAAGGAAGGCTGTTGTTTTTGCAGTTGATTTTATTTGAACTCTTTTCTAAAAACAACTAAGTGAGTGCTTCTCAAACGACACGGATGAGACAGTGCGTCTCGTCCGGTCGGAGTATGTGTAATGTATCAGTCTTTAGAATTGATTCAAGGTTGGCACCCGGCCAACAGCTTTTCAAACGGCCACCCGGGCCAACAACTTTCAAACGGCCACCCGGGCCTAGCTGATCCCATCAGCTGCAGATTTTTCAATCATCGAACCCCTTTCCACAACAGCAATTTCACAAGCAGTAGTCAAACAAAACTACGCTAGGAATCACCTCACATCCGCCCATGACCGTGGGCACGGCTATTCGAACAGCTTGTTAACCTCTGCAGAGGGGGTACACTTTACCCACACGACATTACTAACCCGGATCTCCCAGCCCATGGGGATCCGCCACGTCGGGAGACCTCCAAGCTTTCATGACAAGGCATTTCCAAAGCCGACACAGGTTTACCATATGCCGACGAGAGGGGTCCCAGACCAACAACTGGTTAGGTCCCAGACCATACTGTGCCAGGAAGCCCAGGGGTCCTCCCCGACACCACCCCGGCGAATCCACATGTCTCTCGGCATCAAGGCTCCCCTGATAAGCTAGTTACTCAGCCAGGGGTGTCCCATTCCACCCATGTGGTCGTACTTGTCTTATGTTCGGATGAAATTCCAAGGAAACGGTCCTTAGGTGCAAGAGCGGGAAACCGTACACCCGGTACGTTCCCCGGTCCGCGGTTTTGGAAATTCATTTAGTTCGCAAGCACCGACCCAGGTGTCGGGTTTTCCAAGTCTTTTGTAAAACCCAAGTTTTACCCAAGAAGTTTTTCAGAATTTTAAGTTTGAAGGCGTCCGTCGATACTCGCACAGGGTGCACGAATATCGAGACGCAACTAGATGGTTACAAGGGGACACGATATAACAATTATCAAAGGAAGGATCAAATGCAACAAATTAGGTAGGTCCGCCAATCTGCCTTGCAGACGGGACAACAGATTAAGTGCGATCCTATCAATACATAATATTTTTCAAGCAACATAATTAAATTTCAATTATAGGCTCAAGATGTTCAAAGGTGGCTTGCCTTGCTCGAGATCTAGAGCTTGATCCTCGAAATCCTCGCACTGCGGGTCTTCGGGCTCCGAAACTACACGCAAAACGGGACAACTCAACAAACGGCGAAAATAAAGCCCTATTAATGACCTCTAAGCGTGCCATTAGATAGATCTCGAGATTTGAGGAATTTTGGAAGTTGAACGGAGTCAAACGGATTTACGGTTGGGAAGATATTGAATTTCTAATATTATTGGATTTTTGGTCTAAAGGAAAAATGATTTAATTAAATCCTTTTTGGAAAAGAAAAGAAAAGAAGGAGGGGGAAAATTAGACTTCCCTCGGGCGGCGAGGGCGCGGCCCGAGAGAAAGGAGGCGGCTCGGCCGAGCTAACTGGGCCGGCCGGCCCGAAAGGCGGCCCAAAGCGCGCGCGGGGGAGGGGAGGGAGGGGGCGCCGGTGGACCGGGCTCACCTCGCGTGGTCCCGAGTGGGACCCGCTTGTCAGCGGCTCGGCTCACCGTGCGGAGGGAGCACGCGGCGCACGCGCGTGGGCGGGGGAGGGATGCGGTGCACGCGCGCGGTTCGCGGTGGAACGGATGCGGCGGGCCCACGCGCAGCCTCACGGCTCGCGGTGGAACGCGCGCACGGGGAGGGGCTGACCGGGGTCAATTCGACCCGGCCTTGGCCGAGCTTGCGCCGACGTGGCGCCTACGTGGCTGCCACGCGGGCCGGCGGGAGGTAGACGACGACGCCGGCCGGAACGAACGGCGGACGACAGCGGCGAGCGGCGGAGCGAACCACGGCGATATAGGCGAAAGCGAGCACACCGGGTGGTTGCACGAGACGAGGGGAGACGAGCCAACGGCTCGGATTCGCCGGAGGGAGCTTGACGGCGGCGAATCGCGGCGGCGGCAACCGGCGGCGGGAGGAGGGGAAAACGGCGACGAGGTCACAAGGGGCCGATTCCTGGCGGCGAGAGCATCTACGCGGCTACGGGAATCCGATGCTAGCGTTGGATTAGGAGGAAACGCATCGAGGGAGGCCGGCGACGAGAGGCGCTTCCGAGCTCGGGCAGCGACAGCGGCGAGCACATGGCGAGCGGCGGCAACGGTCGGGGCGGCGCCGGCTAGCTACGGGGAGGCTACTCGTGCTACTACCCGAGTCTAAGGGGAGGAGATGGAGCGAGGAGGGAGAACGGAGGGATGCACTACCGTGCGGGCGGGGCGCAGTGACGAGAGGCCGACGGCGCGGGAGTAATCTCTCCGGCCTCGGGCCGGGGAAGAGGAAGGAGAGGGCGCGCCCGGAGTCCCCTTCCGCGTCCTTGCTCGTGCCGGCTCCTCCGACACGCGCAACGACGAAAGGCGACGGCGAACAGAGCACGGGAGGCGGCGGCAATGGCGTGGAGGCGAACGGGAGAGGAAAGGAAAGGGGGAAGCTTAGGTTTATAGGGGCGGCAATGTCAGTTTGGGAGAGGGGAACCGACATTGGACGGTCAAGCCGACGAGCTGGCGCTCCGGCTAGCGGCCAAAACGGCGACAGGAGGTGACGCCGGCGAGAGGGAAAAAGGAAGAAAAGGGGGGAGAGAAAGGGGGCTTGTCCCTTGCCTCTTCGGGAAAAGGAGGGGGGAGCGGGGCGACGCGGCAGAGGGAGGAGGGACTCTGCCTCCGCCCCTTGGAGGCTAGCGCGCGGAGTGGCGGGGCCGAGGCGATGATGACGGCGGGGCGGTGTGGAGCGGAGCGGCGACACGGGCGACAGGCGCGAGCAGGCGCTGACGACGGCGGCGACCAGGCGGTCGGCCACTCGGCACTCGCGCGCGGCTTGCAACGGGAGGCGCGGCGGATGGAGTGGCGCGGCTCGGGCACGCGCGCTGGCTGCGGGGCCGAGCGGCTGCAGGCGTGGCAGGGCAGCGGGGCCGGGCGGCGCAGACAGCGCAGACAGCGCAGGCATGATGCGAGCGACGACCACGCGGGCGCGCGCGCGCGAACGACGCGCGGGGAGCGGCAGCGAGGGAGCGAAGAGGAGGGCTCGGCTCGGCGCGGGCGGCTCACGCACGCGCGGGCAGAGCGGAGGGAGCGGAGGAGGGGCGTTCGGCGCGAGCGGCTCACGCGCACGCGCGCGCGGCGCGCGGGCGGAGCGGAGCGGAGGGGGAGAGAGAGAGAGAGAGAGAGAGATAGCCGGGGAGGGAGGGGGAGATGGGCCGAGAGAGATTCGGCCCATCGAACCCAGGGGGAGGCAAAATAGACTTTTGCGGAGGAATTTGAGATCTGAGATGGCACGGACACTAGACAACAAGCAAAGAAACAAATTTCGCAATTAGGGTTTTTAAGAGATAATTTTCCCGCTAGGCGCCACGACGGAACGGGCGCTACAGCTTTGGAATGGCAATGGTTGGGTGGGAGCTGGTGCTGTGGGCGAAATCCTAGCTCGATGTTTTCGGGTTGACAACGATGACGCCTCGGTGTTGTACTTGCTCTTGAGAATGTTGCTGAGTTGTCAGCTCTCTCCACCCGATATGACTTTTCGGGTGAAAACCTAGTCCAAGGTGGATAGCCTCCATGGAGGCACCGCCTCGAAGGTCATGTTCCCTCGCATTCATTGCCTTCTTCCTAGTTTGGCCTTCTGCGTTCGGTTAGTTTCGTCTCTAGGTTGGTGTAAGAATGAGCAGATCTTTCCCCCTCTCTCTCTCTCTCATCCTCATCCTCAAACCTCCTGTGAGGGTGGCCGGGAGTCTGTCGTCGACATTCTTGGTGAAATTGGTTTGAAGCGAGAGCGTCTGCGACCTCCTTGTAGGGCTAGCAATTATCGGTCACGTACAACGGGTGTGTGTTTGGAGCCTGTAGCATGTGGTGGAGTAGTCTTTTTTTTTTCCCTAATTATGACCTTCTTCTGTTGTAATTCTATACATAATTTTTTTCATGCTATATCAATATGAATCTTCTTGTGTTGTCTTGTGCGGGTCATTCAGAAAAAAACACTATTAGTAAGTGGGAAACTAGAGGCCGACCGGAGGTTTCTTTCTATCGTTGGGAGCCTCTCTGCCTTCCGACCTCCATCGAATTGGGTGCAGACCAGCAGCAGCCAATAATTAAGGTCGTCGGCCGTATATATGATGATGGAGAATAGCAGGGAGCAGCAGCCGGAGTCGTCGCCGGCGAACAACAATAGCAAGAAGAAGAAGAAGAAGAAGACGGCGTCGCGGTTCCGGCGTGTGTGCGTGTTCTGCGGCAGCAGCCCCGGGAAGAAGGCGTCGTACCAGGTGGCCGCCGTGCAGCTGGGGCAGCAGCTGGTGGAGCGCGGCATCGACCTGGTGTACGGCGGCGGCAGCGTTGGGCTGATGGGGCTGGTGTCCCGCGCCGTCCACGGAGGCGGCGGGCACGTGGTGGGCGTGGTGCCCAATGGCGTGCTGCCACGCGAGCTGATCGGCGAGACGCTGGGGGAGGTGAGGGCGGTGGGAAGCATGCACCAGCGGAAGGCGGAGATGGCGCGGGAGTCGGACGCCTTCATCGCCCTCCCCGGCGGCTACGGCACGCTGGAGGAGCTCCTCGAGGTCATCACCTGGGCTCAGCTCCGCATCCACCACAAGCCCGTCGGCCTCCTCAACGTCGACGGCTACTACGACTCCCTGCTCGCCTTCATCGACAAGGCCGTCCACGAAGGCTTCGTCTCGCCGCCCGCCCGCCGCATCATCGTCGCCGCACCCACCGCCTCCGACCTGCTCTGCAAGCTCGAGGAATACGTGCCGCCGCCGCACGACGCCACCGCCCTGAAGCTCACCTGGGAGATGTCCACCGTATCGGAGCAGCACGCCGGAAGCATCTACTCCCCCAAGCCCGACATGGCACGCTAGCTAGCTAGCTAGCTACTCGATCCACTTCATTATTACTTATCTTGTTTCTTCTCATATAATCTTGCTGCTAATTATTTCTTCCATATATTAATTCCCTATATATATGTATATATACTCGATCGTACTATATTGTATACATCATCAATTACTTGTAACTTCAATTAATCCTAGCTACATCGAAGAGGCAGGCGGCCCTAGTTAGTTTTCCTGTACTAGAAGCTAGTTAATTTTCCTCTATGGAGTGTTATTATGAGTTGATTGAGTTGGGAGTATTAATTTGTTCTCTCATCATTTACTAGTACACACGTTGTTTTGTTGTCATCGATCTCTATTACTCGTAGAAAGGGTAAGGACCTAGACTAGGTACTAGAGGAAGCAGACCGATCCAACTATCCAAGGGAGGAAGCCCTGTGATTGGGAAGCAGCAATTCTTTTCTTCTTCTTCTTCTTCTTCTTCTTCTTCTTCTTCTTCTTCTTCTTCTTTTAAAGGAAAACTGCAAAATTAAAATAGAGCAATCTAATACTCGTTTAGGGCACCACCTCATGACTAATCAAGTACTAGGTTTCTGCTTTCTCCGCTTTAAGATATATTAACCTAGTACTGAATTATACAAAATCTAGTATCACGAATAGTCCAAATAACCTGTTACTAAAAATATGAATAGCCTGGTAATAAGTTGTGTCTAATCTAATACTATGTTGTTATATTTTGGGTCAGAGGATGAAGAGAGTACTTACTAATACTATGTTGTTATATTTTGAGTAGGATTATACTTACTAATACTACTTTTGTGTGCATACATAGCAAATTAGCAATCAATCAACTTCCTTCCCGTGTCCTCTTTGCAACACGACAGGTCCTCCATCGATCTCACACGTGGAGAGATAGAGAGAGAGAGAGGCGCAATTGGAGTATATCGGCAACTTTTACCAACAAGGACGGAAGGAAGGAAGGAAGGAAGAGGAGGTGAGACACCAACCGATCGATCGATCGACCGACCAAACGAGGTGAGGTCGACAAACAAAGAAAAGCCAGCCGTAGTGACAACACTAGCTAGTCATCGTCGTCTTGTCCATCGAGTAACAAACAAACAACACTGGCATTCTGGCAAGTGGCAACAGCATTTCTCTTCTCTTCTCCTCTCCTGTGGACTACTAGCTAGCTAGGAGATGTTTTTCCAGTGAGTTTCCCCTGAATTCTGATCAAGACCGAAAATGACAATTAATTAATTGGAGTAAAATCGATGCATGTGGACTACTCTCTCTCTCTCTCTCTCTCTCTCTCTCTCACTCACTCAGAGTCTCAGTCTCCTTCCAGGAAGCCCTCTCCTCTCATCTCCTCTTTCTGGACCAAAAATGAGAGGACCTCATCTCTTCACACAAGAGAAGAGCCCCATGCTACTGCTAGTGGATGGATAGGAATATAGACAGGGACCATGCATGCTATCTTTCTGTTTGGCTGTCCATGTAAACTAAATGTTGGATAAGAATTGTCTGGACATGTTTGGACTGTCCAGATAATAGCCAGTAATTAATATAGGGAGGTAAAGTCAATTGCTGTTGAGTTCAATTTGGAATTCAGGCATATGTATAATAATCCTCCTAAAATAAAAACTAGACTAGTATCCCTTTCTACCTAATCATCTTGACTAGCTCCGTCGTTTATCTCATAATTCAATTCAATTCTGTGTGCATACATATTTATCCCATGATGCAACGTGACTAGTCACAAGTATACTAGTAGTAGACAGAAACAGGCGCCTACACACCAAGTGAAAATCTTTTAACTATTTGGCAGCTGCTTTCCATACGTCCAAGTCAGATGATCAATAATAGGCAACAGACATGCATGAGTGATAATATATTTGTTCAGAATGACCTTAAGGCCTCTAATTACCTTAAATTGGAGTATTTGATTTGCCTATTTTTGTTTCTACAGGCTATCTTAATTAGGTGTTGATATTTCAGTAGCTACCCTATTATCATATCATATGTACCTGGCTACGACTTGCGTCCTGCAGCAATCATGCATATGCATCCTCATGAATTAATCGGCATCACATATTGCTCAACTGACCACTAGAAAATTAAGCAATGCATACTCATTGTTACATGTAGGAATGCGATTAATTTGTTGAATCCGCGGAGTAGCTTGACGCTAACTTAGCTAGCTCAAGCTCTCTAGATAGCGAGGAAGCAAAAGCAGCTGCCCAATTCGATTTTGCGGCCCATGCGCGCGTCCTTTTCCTTGTCGGGTAATAATCTCTCAATTTGTCGCGGTAGTGCTTAATTTCCCAGAGTTGACCATCCGACACAGCAGAATGGGGAAAGCATGGCCCATTCACCACCTGCCTAAACAAGCTAGTACATATCATACTCAAAACCATACCTTTCTTTCACACATGAAAAAAAAAACACCTTTCAGCTGGTTGTGCTTCTAATGAGCTACGAACTGATCAATACATCCTCGCTCTAACATATAAGTTGGCAGAAGCGTTCTAACCTCGTTAGAGGCCGCTGTACGTGTTAATATATGTTTGGGAAAAGCCCCCAAAGTGGCGCATACAATGGTGAAGATTGGTTACAAAACAGAAAACAAAATCTCTTCCTATCTTATCATCTCATGCGTTGTTATCTCACATAACAACTCTATGTAACAAACCTCTATCTCTAACACTCCCCCTCAATCATAACTTATCTAAGTTAAGATTGTATCTGAAATTCCTAAGTTGTGGAGCACCGAGAGGTTTAGTAAACCCATCTGCAACTTGATCACCTGAAGATATAAACTTGATTTCTAATTGCTTTCTGGCAACCCTCTCTCTGACAAAATGATAGTCTATCTCAATATGTTTAGTTCGTGCATGAAACACAGGATTAACAGCCAAGTAAGTAGCTCCCAGATTATCACACCACATACATGCAGTTTCAGGTGAATTTATTCCTAGCTCTTTAAGTAGAGCCTGAACCCACATTACCTCTGCCGTTGCATTTGCAACAGCTTTGTATTCAGCTTCTGTACTTGATCTTGATACTGTAGCCTGTTTTCTTGCACTCCAGGAAACCAAATTAGACCCCAGAAACACAGCAAAACCTCCAGTTGATCTTCTGTCATCAATTGATCCTGCCCAATCAGCATCTAAAAAAGCACTAACAAGAGTGGATGATGAACGACTTATCTTAAGACCAAGATCAACTGAGAATTTCACATATCTTAATATCCTCTTCACTGCCATCCAATGATCTATAGTTGGACTATGTAAAAACTGACAGACCTTATTTACTGCAAATGAAATATCAGGCCTAGTCAAAGTCAGATACTGAAGAGCTCCAACTATACTTCTGTATCTAGTTGCATCTGTTTCTCCTAGAGCAGTTCCACTATGAGCTGACAGTTTTTCTGATACAGACAGAGGAGTACTAACAGGTTTACAATCTAGCATACTTGCTCTTTTCAACAAATCAGAGGCATATTTTTCTTGTTTCAGTAAAATACCATCACCTGCCGTACTGACCTCTATTCCAAGGAAGTAATGCAGATCCCCCAAATCTTTGAGTGCAAATTCTTGACTCAAATCTGCCAGCAAAGCAGATACTGCCTTCTATCTAGAACTAGCCACAATTATATCATCAACATAGATAAGTACGAAAATTGTAACACCTCCTTTGTTATAAAAGAACAATGATGTATCAGCTTTGGAAGCTTGGAAGCCAAGGCTAATCAACTTAGTACTTAACCTTGAATACCAAGCTCGAGGAGCTTGCTTCAACCCATAAAGTGCTTTGTCTAACTTGCAAATGTAATTGGGCTTACTCTTATTTTCATAACCAAGAGGTTGCCTCATATATACCTCTTCTTCAAGGTATCCATGCAGAAAAGCATTTTGCACATCTAGTTGGCGAAGGCACCATCCCCTGGAAACAGCAATAGACAAGACAGTTCTGATAGTAGCTGCTTTAACCACAGGACTGAAAGTGTCCTCATAATCAATACCATAGCGTTGTTTAAACCCCTTGGCTACTAGACGAGCTTTATATCTATCCAGACTACCATCAGACTTTCTCTTAATTTTGTAGACCCACTTGCAGTCTATAACATTTTTACCATGACTAGGTGGAATTAGGTGCCAAGTTTTATTTTCTAATAAAGCAGTAAACTCAGCATCCATAGCATCTTTCCAGTTTTTATCAGTCAAAGCTTCATCTAGGTTTTGAGGTTCTCCTGTAGTTGTCAGCATGCCATACCTTACAGTACCATCAGTATAAACCTTCTGTTTTCTTATACCTCGCTGGAGATGAGTGACCGGCCGTGCGGGCTCGACCACGGCTGTGTCGGGTGCAGACGATCCGCCGGTCAGAGGGCTGTCGCTCCCCCCATCATGATGGCTGCTTGGCGACGTGGCTGCATGCGACTGCTCCCCCTGCTGCAGAGACGTCAAGCCACCGGTTTCGCCGATTTCTTCATCGTCGGGAAAAGACAGTGCAGGCGTGTGCACAGGTGAGGGCTGAAATCCTCCCTCGGGATCGCTGCGGCATCTAGATCCGGTGCATCTCCTTCAATATTTGCTGCAGAACTGTGATCATTTTGTGCTGTATTTTCTGAACCTTCTCCGAATTGTATCTCCTGATCTGTCACATGCTCAACAGGCACATTAGATTGCTCAGGAACATTAGGCATGCGGTCATTATATTCAACCCCATTAGTTGCAATATTTTGATATAAGGAGGAAGGAAGCAAAAGAATTTCGGATCTCAGCCTTGCTCCAGCGTTTGCATGTAACCTTTCAAAGGGAAAAATATTTTCATCAAATACAACATCTCTAGAGATGTAAACTCTGCCAGTTGATATATCAAGACACTTAAAACCTTTGTGGATATTGCTATACCCAAGAAAAGCGCATTGTTTGGAGCGAAACTGAAGTTTGTGTTTGTTGTAAGGACGGAGATTGGGCCAACAAGCGCAACCAAAGGTTCTAAGAGCAGAATAGTTAGGCTTTTGATCAAGGAGGCGCTCTAAAGGAGTAGTATACTGAATGACCTTACTAGGTGTGCGATTTATGAGATAGGCAGCAGCTAGGAACGCCTCATCCCAAAATTTCAGAGGCATTGAAGCATGAGAAAGGAGAGCCAACCCAACCTCTACTATGTGTCTATGTTTGCGTTCTGCAGAACCATTCTGTTGATGTGCATAGGGACATGAAACATGATGTGAGATACCAATCTTAGTGAAGAAAGAGTGCAATTTTTCATACTCTCCCCCCCAGTCAGTTTGCATAGAGATGATTTTGCGATTGAAAAGGCGCTCAACTCGTTGTTGAAATTCTTGAAACTTAAGAAAAACTTCAGCTTTACTCTTAAGCAAATAGATCCAAGTAAATTTACTGAAATCATCTATAAAACTGACATAGTACTTTCTGCCCCCAACAGAAGTAGGAGCAGGTCCCCACACATCTGAAAACACAAGTTCTAGAGGATTATTTGACACACTAAAGGATTTTGGATAGGGTAGCTGGTGACTCTTGGCCTGTTGGCAGGCATTACAGACTCCTGACTCATTGACATCTCCTAAACATGGGAGATTATTGCTACTAACAACTTTCTGAACAATAGCTAGAGAAGGATGACCTAGACGGCTATGCCACCTTGACATTGTGGGCTTGATGGCACCAAGGACTTGCTTGGATGTGGCCAATGAAGATGTTGGCAACGGGTACAGTCCATTGCGGCACGGTCCTCTAAGAAGAAGATTCTTCGTGACCTGATCCTTAATGGCAAAGAAACGAGGATGAACTTCAACAAAGGCATGATTATCAACGGCTAAACGATGAGCAGAGATAAGGTTCTTTTCAGCTTTAGGAACATGAAGGATATTTTTCAACTGAATATTGCATATGGGGGTATGAATAATAGAATGACCAACATGCTTAATGTCCATACCTGCACCGCTTGCCGTGTGAATCTGTTCTTTGCCGTTGTACTTCTCATGGGTTGTCAGCTTGTCCAGTTCTCCTGTGATGTGGTCGGTGGCTCCGGTGTCCATGTACCAATTTGTATCTACACCATAGGAAGCCGCAGCTGCTGTTTTTGAATCTGGAATGAAATTTTCATCATACCTATACCAGCAGTCTGCCACCACATGTCCAATCTTGCCACATAGCTGACAGGTGGAGCGCGGTTTGTTGGAGAAGCGCGCGCCGCCACCGTTTCCTCGCCCCCGGCCTCCGCGATCGCCGCGACCACCGCCACGGCCGCGAAACGCGCCGGTGTTGCCGGTGTTGACGTTGTTGCTGAAGCCGCCGCCGCCTCCCTTGCCTCCTCGTCGTGCGCTGTTGACGGAGGAACCATTAGCCTGCTGTCGCAGCTTGGCTCGGCTCTCAAAACTCAGGAGCTGGGTGTAGATTTCGGCGACTGGTACAGCCTCCGCCTTGCCGACAAGAGTGGAGACGACGGGCTCATAATCGTCGTCGAGTCCGGGGAGGATGTACGACATCATCTCCTCGTCATCGAGGGGCTTGCCGGCGGATGACATCTCGTCAGCCAGCGTCTTCATCTTGCCGATGTACTCCGTGACACTGAGATCGCCCTTGCGGGTCGTCGACAGTGCAAGCCGCGTGTTCAGAGCACGCGCACGGGATTGCGAGGAGAGCATCGTTGTGATCACTCTCCATGTCGCAGCCGCCGTTTCAAGATTGACGACTTGGGTGAGTATGTCTTTGATACAGATGCAAGGAGAAATCCAAGCACCTGTTGATCGACGACAACCCATTCCTCATAGGCTGGATTGATCTTGGTGACGACCTTGTCGCCTTCCTTGACGTCGATCGCTGCCGACGGAGCGCGAGTCGCGCCGGTGAGGTACCCCTCCATGCGGGCACCGCGAATGATGGGAAGGATCTGTGTCTTCCATAGAAGGAAATTATTCCTTGTGAGCTTCTCTGGGACAACTTGGCCGGAGAGTGGATTGGTGGCGGAATTGGAGGAACTCGCCATTTTTGGTAGATGCGATCTCTCGCGTGGATGATTGGCTCTGATACCATATAAGTTGGCAGAAGCGTTCTAACCTCGTTAGAGGCCGCTGTACGTGTTAATATATGTTTGGGAAAAGCCCCCAAAGTGGCGCATACAATGGTGAAGATTGGTTACAAAACAGAAAACAAAATCTCTTCCTATCTTATCATCTCATGCGTTGTTATCTCACGTAACAACTCTATGTAACAAACCTCTATCTCTAACATAACACACTGCGTCGTAAAACAAAAGTCGCAGTAGCTGGCATCAAATAACATGACACGTTTTCACACATTTCATACAAAGTGAGAAACTTCTCCAACTTCCCGTTTGCAGTGCACTGTTCAGGAGGAAGAGGAAAACCGCATCAAAAATCTATATAACCATCATCCAAACGAAAAATCTCCATACTCCACTAGCAACTAACACATAGTGCTTGTTTTGGGTTCCTTCCGACAAGTTGTAGCCTCTTTCAAAATCAAAAGTTCCTTCAAACAGTCAAAACTTTTCACTCAGATTCTAAGTAACTGTAATTATAGAATCCAGAAAATGAACTAGAAGCCGAAAAAGCTAGGTTTCTCAGCTTCTTCCGGTTCTCACGGACTACTTTTCCAGTTCTCACGGACTACTTATCAGAATTTAAAACTCCCCCAAACAAGCCCCTATACACACTTATTGGAGCCCAAACGCTCCTGAAGAATCAGGCTTGAATATGAAAACATAAATCAAATCGTAATTCGTTCAGAACTTGCGTTAATATAGAAAAAAAAAGTGACGCCAAAGATTCGCTCCATGCATGTGGGTAATACACGCGGGCGATCCGACTTTGATACAGACTCGACAAATCACGAGCGTCAAAAAGAAACCAAACAGCACATATGCGGGCAATGTAAAAAGAACATATTTCACAAAATAGTACACTACGAATATAAGTTTCTATCCTGAATCTTGTCCACAATACAGAATGCGGCCGATCTATAAACTAAACTAAAAATCATGATACAATGTTGTACCGTGATCATACTATATGATGGCCCCGCACACGCAGCAATGTTAGCAAAATACAGGAGCACAAGAGCTGCTGTCATCACATTAACCTGACAGCTCATACTGCAAACCAATGGCAGTCCAAAACAGCTCTTGCGACAAAATTGAGTTGGCCTTTCCTATTGACTAGCAGAAATCTCGCAATCAGCACCAAGTGGAGGTAACCGAAAATAAAATTACAGCAGGCACCTTCTTTCACCACCCTGGAAGAGAACTTGGGCAATGGGGTGTTGAGGGCTCCAGAGGTTTGGAGGCCAAAGCAAGAAATGGAACTGGATTAGCAAGGCTGAATCACAGAATTATGAATCAACCATCTCATCTTGTAATTCGCTTGGGGCAATAAGCCCTGGAATGGCAAGCATTCGTTGACGCTCCCTCTCTCTTTGTGCAGCAGCCTCTTCAGCATACAAATCCTTATTATCCTAACCAAACGAACATGAAACAACTCATCAGACGAGTTCAACAGCAAGTAACATGAAAACAAATAAAAAATGGGCACTTGTGCATTGTAAAGGCCCTAAAATAATCGCAAATCCTTATTATCCTAAGCAAATGAACATGAAACAACTCATCAGATGAGTTCAATAGCAAGTAACATGAAAACAAATAAAAAATGGGCACTTATGCATTGTAAAGGCCCTAACATTAACGCTATACTTGGCACATGATTCCATATCTATCGTTTTCTCAAGTTGGCACCATACTACCACGTGGCAACATCCACTCTCTGGTAATTAGCAACTGTTGGTTTCTGATAAACTATGTTCTTACTATTTCTGGTATAGTGAAGTATTGGTTCCTCTAATTCCTTTGAATTGTGAAAAATCAGGTCCATGCCAGTGTCAAGGGGTAGGAGCAAATTACCTGAGCCGAGAACTCCTTTGATTGCACCAGGAAATCCCTAATATGGTTTTTGAAGCTTGGAAGGTCATGTTTTGAACTAAGAAGCCCATCAACAAATTTTGTAACCTGTGCGGGAAAAGTTGTTAGGTCTATGATGGCCACAGAAGCACAGGATAGCTGCAAAAGAAGGATCATACCTCAGTAGGTGTCATGTTGGGAAATGATGAACCTAAAAGTTTTATTGTGTAATCTCGGACAAACATAGCGTTGTCAGTATATTGGTATGGTACTGAGGATGCATCCCAGAGAGGCTCCGTCAGACCATCAACCTACAAATTAGGAAAATTAATAATTAAGTGTATCCATACAAACAAAAGAGAACAGATAAAAATGAATATTGACATACCACACAAAATAAGTGCTGCAGCACCAAAACATGAAGCTTGAAACCAGGCTTGTGGAATGTGTCTGTCAGAACTGCAAAGATCTCTTGTTCAATATTCAAAAAATAAGTTTTGTAGAATTGATTTTGGAATCCTGAGGCCTGCAAGTGAATCATGTAAAAAAAACATAAGCAAACAGAATATTATGCAATGGTAGCAAATTGTGGATTGTATTTTCTACCTGAAAGTTCTTTAAAATTTCCAGCAATAGACTGAGACCAGTCTCTGCGATGTTTCTCTCTGTATGTCTAAATGCCCAGTTGATAGAGTCAATCACAAGTTTCAATTGCTGAATAAGATAACAATCCAATAATCAGATAAAACAGAAGAATAGAAGATAATATGTTGATGTATCTGAACTCAATAGTAAATTTAAATCAACAAGGAAGAATGATGTTTTAAATAGTTGGTACTAACCTGACTTGAAAGCTGAATTAATGCTTGGAAGCAATGGGTGCCAATCGCACGAAGCAAAGAGAAAAATTTGAGGCGATGCTCCGGGTAATCTTCAAAGTTTTTAGTGATCATCTGACAGGACAGAACAAATTATTAATCCAATCTAAAAATATTACCTATGGATAGAATGAAAAAGGAAGCTTAATAGGTATTCCTACCTCAAGAGTGCACTGGAAAACAGCCTCAAATATGCGAGGCACGTCTTCAAGCATTTCACCTTTGTATCTACAATAAACATTAAAATGATGATTACTGGAAAGGAATATCAGAACAGACAGTGCAACAAGATGTACAGTTGGAAGAAATTTCCTACGAACTGAAATAATAAAAACACATTTTAATTTACATCTACAAAAACAAAGACATTATCAGGTTGGAGGCATATACTTGTTTATGATCGTCGCAAACAGGGACAGAACTTCAGATTCCCTAGCATCGGGAACATTTCTAGCATAGTCAGCAAGAATAGGATCCATCATAGGAGGAACAAACTGTTTCCCAATGTGTGGTAGATCTTCAGCTTTGTCCACAAAAGTCTCAATCAATTTCAATGTTTCCCTCTTGACAGATCTGTCACATATAGAGCATAATTTAGTAAAACAACAATTCATACCTAAGGAGATTTACAAAGGAGGTCCTTGATAAAGAGAAACCATCAATTCATACCTAAGGAGTTTTACAAAGGAGGTCCTTGAGGCAAAAGGTCCCCCTTCAGCAATGGTGCTTGATACAAGCTCACTGTACATTCTGATGTGAAAACAATGCACGAACAAAAAAGATGGTATTAGCTAATGAAGTATTAAAGGCATAACAAGATGAAATCAACCTTGACCACAAGAATAATCAGAACATGGCAGGCACAATGGCAAAAAAGAAAATTCTAACTAGTAGATTGGAGCAAATTTAGCATGATCGCTTGCTTTCTGGGCCAAATTCTGCAGGCCCCAGAAAGTTGTGGTTGTTTGCATATTGCCATACAAGAGAGACCAAGTTTTACATGGGCAGGCACCAGGCAGGACAATCCCAAAGAACAGTTCATCTGAGACCTTGATCTAACTTCGGAAGGTGTTATGTAGTACAATACTGAGATTTAGCAATATAGTGTATCGAGATTTGATTTTCCATCAATTGTTTTAGTCAGTTGCTTCAATTTATTTACCCCGCCGAGTGCCCCAGATTTGTAATACTTGATTAGCTTTGTACTTCCAAGAAAATGCTGTACCATTATCTAAGAGTTAACATAATACAGCAATAAAATACAGTAAGCGGTGAACAAAATACCTGTAAACTGTCAACATGTCAAGAAAGATTAGGGAAATTTGCGGGAAAAAGTGTGGTCCAAGTGAGCTAGCAACACTTGTGTTTGTCTGCAAGCACATATAACAACATTTATTACACCAGGAGAAATAACAAAAAACCAACAGTATCTAAGACCAAGGAGGGTTGTGCAAAAGGTAAATGAAACTGAAAATTACACTAAAAACAGCACATTGTACACAAAGAAAATGTTTTAATTCAACAGACAGCGAAGCACACAGAGGAACCAAAAGCAAGCAAGTGCAATTGCTGGCTAACTACCTAGAGGTAACACACAAACAACAATTGCAAAATATTTTCTAGAATGTATGATATCTACAGTTTTACACAGCAAATTGACCCTAAATATTTTCAAAGTTCCCAAGCACAATCTCACAAGAAAAAGCATGCTCTATAA